TGCAGCCCAGGATACGGTTGTCTGTCTGGGCTATGAGTGCACATTGCCGGGTCATGTTGAGCTTCTTATTAACCAGCACCCCCAAGTCCTTCTCCTCAGGGCTGCTCTCAATTCACTCTCAGCCCGGCCTGTATTTGTGCTTGGGTTTGCCCTAACCCATGTGCAGGACCTTGCACTTGCCCTTGCCGAACTTCCTGAGGTTCGCACAGGCCCAGCTCTCAAGCCTGTCAAGGTCCCTCTGGATGGCATCCCTTCCCTCCAGCGTGTCGACCCCACCACACAGCTTGGTGTCATCAGCAAACTTGCTGAACTCCATCCCACTGTCCATGTCGCCAACAAAGATGTTAAACAGGACCAATCCCAATACCAACCCCTGAGGAATGCCACCTGTCACCAGTCTCCACGTGGACATCAAGCCATTGACTGCAACTTTTTGAGTGGGCCTATCCAGCCAATTCCTTATCCACCAAGTGGTCCATCCATCAAATCCATGTCTCTCCAGTTTGGAGACAAGGATTTCACGTGGGACAGTGTCAAATGCTTTGCACAAGTCCACGTAGATGGCGTCAGTTGCTCTTCCCTTCTCCACCAACACTGTAACCCCATGGTAAAAGGCCATCAAATTTGTCAAGCACGATTTGCCTTTAGTGAAGCCCTGCTGGCTGTCACTGATCACCTCCTTGTTTTCCATGTGCCTATGCATAGTTTCCAGGAGAATCAGCTCCATGATCTTGCCAGGCACAGATGCAGCCAGGAAGCCACGACCTACAAGCCTGACTGAGGGTAATTTGTGTCTGTCCCCACCACACCTCCCCCAACCTTTTCTAGGAAAAATGCCTACCAAGGCTTAAAACAAAAAGAAAAAAAGTCACAGAAAGTGATGTTAGCAAGCAATGTAGCTTCTTAGTTCTTCTTGAACCATGCTGGTAACAAGTCCAGATAAAAATGCACAACAACATTTTATAGAACTCTATAAAACACGTGAAAACTTTTTGAGACAATACTCAACAAAACCTAGAACCTTTGTGCTCTCAGGTAACACCATAAGCATAGGGAAGACAGGCACAAACTCAAATCATTACTGTTTGTCTTCAGTTTTAGGTTTTGCTTTAGTTTTACCCTGTAACTTTAACTGATTCCTTAAAGTTCACTTACATCATCATACTGGAAGTTCACAAAACCCTGCTGAGATGTATCCCTTCTTCTAAAACATTCTGCAAAAATGCATTAAGAAAACAAAACAGAAACCATGTAAGAAGAAGTAATATTAATCAATTTCTTGAAAATGCATTGTATTTCCATTAAATTCCCCAAGTCACATGAATGAGAATTCATTAAGAACAGTGCAATTCATTCCAAGACTTAATTTCCTGTTCTTCATTTTCATATTCATCATATACAACCTTTTATGTTCTGTTGATAAATACAGTTTCCCAATTTTGATAACAATTCTTCTAGTCTCTGGAATGCACTAGTTTTAAGTCCATTTTTCAATGGGGATTTAAAAAAATCATAATCTACAATTGCTCCAGTTCTGCCTTTAAACTCCATTGAAAGAAACTTATTCTGTGTTATGTTAAAGTTGAAATTGAGATAACTGAGTAATCAGATTTTATTAAATAAAAATGTATTATGGGGATGATAGTAACAAGGCTATAATCCAGCATACCAGTGAGAGCTCTGAGTTTCACACAGCAGGCAATGTAATCATCAAATGTAATCTTTCCACGAGTACTGTATCGCCTTGTAATTGCAGTCACTGCCTGTGGGCTCAGTCTAAATCCTATTTGAAAATGAAAAATCTATTTTGAAAAGGCAGGTAAGTTAACAGAATTGAACACATTTTTAATTGGAAATACCATCTGTCAGTTACCGCAGGATGATAACTGGTAATGGGAAATGCTGTAAGTCAGCATCAGAAGCAAGAACATTTCAAAACTTACCCATGTTCATCAAGGCTTTCTCCAGTTCTTGACGATCCACTGTACCACTTCTATCATTGTCAAAACTTACAAAGTGTTGCTTCCAGCCATTGACCACCGCCCAGAGTTCTTTAAACTCATTAAATCCCAGTGTGCCAGACATATCCCTCTGATTCCAAAGCTAAGAAAAATGTTTCTTAACTTAAAAAAAAATAATAAATAAGATCCCTCTCTTCAATGGAAATGTATATTTTTTATCATCTGTAGTTAAAAACTCTTTCTTGAAGGTCAATATTAACAATATTCTACTATTATTGATTTCTCTTGTAGAAAACTAACTAGAGCATCCCACAGCACAGAGATAATACTACCAACCAAAACCAAAGGTCAGAGAATTTGCTCTCTCCACTTCTTCTCAGTAAAACTTGATAAAACTATTTGCTCTTTGCGCATTTAATCAAGATCACACACTTCTCTCAGACCTGCCGCAGTATAACTGTTACCAATAAAAATATATATCCGCAATAAAAATAGATGACAAAGGAAAAATAAGTTAGAATAATGTCAGTTCTCTTGCATTCTAAGCAGTTTGGTCCAAGATAAGCTAACAGCCCTTCCAGTTTCTTTTTAAACAGCAAAACATTTGAACATGACAAGTTAAGTTTTGAGTAAAAAACCTCCAAAGATTCCAACCTTGCACAGTATACCTAAGCCTTCCATAGGTCCTACTGCTGAATGCCAGATACCATCCCATGAGATACTCAAACCTGATTCATTCAAGGAACAGTATTTAGGGGGACTTAGATTGTATTCAGCCTGTGTAGTACAAATGCTTCAGTCTTCAGGAAGGATTAGAATGTTGTCCAATTTGAAAAGCACAATGAGCGATTCACACAAAACTCTATTCTGGGCTGCCAGACCTGACTCTTCATACATTCAATGGAGAACCAGTCCCCATGGCTTCCAGGGATACTACCTGTTGTAAGAAGATCAGTCACCAAGAGCCTCATCTATTATAATTTTATTTCATCCTGTAAAATGAGTAAGAATGGAATTTTGTAGTTGCCCAATCATAATGATGACAATACTTACCAAGTAAGGGCTGAATGGGAATTACAAAGCATTTCCCAAATTTTTGGTACCCTCTTATCTTTGCTTATGTAATGCAAAAATGTTTACATTTCATAGTAAAGGATACATCCAGCATTGAGATCATAAGTCTGCAAGTCTCCAAGTTGAAAGCTGTTTAAATTAGAAAAAGTAAGTTATATTAAACGAATGATTTTCAGGTTTATTTGTCTAAATGTAAAATTTTAAATTGCTTTTTATTATATATTGATTATATA